GGGATTGGGAAGCCTAGCAGTTCGCTTGCTGGAGTAGCTGGGCTCGGCGGGACATGAGGGCGCTGCGCTCCCAGCGCGCTCCAGCCTGCTAGCTCCAGCCTGCTAGCGCTCTCGCCCCGTACCTGGCCGCCGCCGCCTCGGAGCCCAGCTGGGCCTGCGCTCTCCCGCCCGCCGGCTCACACCGCTGCAGTCATGGGGCTGCAGCCCCTGGAGTTCAGCGACTGCTACCTCGACAGCCCGTGGTTCCGGGAGAGGATCCGCGCGCACGAAGCGGAGCTCGAGAGGACCAACAAGTTCATCAAAGAGCTCATCAAAGATGGGAAGAACCTCATCGCCGCCACCAAAAGTAAGCGGGGCCCGCTGGCGTTTGGGCTGCGGCGTGGCGTGGAAGGCGGGAGGAGCGTCTTCCCTCCCGAGTGCGATGGCTCTGTGCCCCTAAACAGGGCTGGAGGAATAGGCGATTCCTTAGGGGATAGGCTCCAGGACATTCTTCTTCTAGGCGGTTCGGGCGCGTCGCCCGGCTCGCCCCAGCCCCTCCGTGGCGCGGGAGCTGCCCCGGGGCTCCCGCCTGGCCCAGCAGAGTTCGTCTCGGCTCCGGCCGGACCGAATCGAGACTCGGCTCCGCAGTCAGGTTTTACTGCGCCCTAACGCTGTTCCCAGTCTCCGGCAAAACACCGACTCGGTTAGACAGTTTTGTCTCGTAACCTTTCTAAGGAACTTTCTTGGAGATTCTTTGAGACCCTCCCTGTAGTTGAGTTCTTCAAAAGCCCCTGAAGTATGTATTTTTTTATTGATTAAGTAAGCATCTTTTGTGTATTTTTTTCTGTCTTCCGAGACAGTCTCGACCTACGTCTCTCATGTACTAAACCAGAAAGTCTACCTGGCTTTGTGCTGCCTTCTGCACATTCCTGCTGACTTGTGCTGAGACGGGTTCAAAGATTGGGGTTTGAAAGGGTCAGTGGGCAGACTGCCCCTTGGATCTGGCCTGCAGTGCCAGTGTGTAGGGAATTCTAGTCTCTTCACGTGTGCTGCCTTCTGCCTCGGTCCGAGCCAGTATTCAAGCAAACAACAAACAAACAAACAAAGAAACAGTCAAACAAAGCAACCCTCCAGCCACCTCTGAAGACAACAGAAAGAAAAGTGTATTGGAGCTGTAGTGAGTTAGGAGTAGAGGCTGGGTGAAATCTGTGCAGGAACAGTTGTAAGGCTCTACAAATGGAACGAAGTTCTCCAGGGCCAGGGGCTGGCATCCAGGCCACACTGGAACCCCCAGTCCCTTCCCTGAGTTACTGTGAGCACCCCTTTTTATTCTTAAAAAGACCCGACCGCTCAGGAGCCAAGCACAGGGTCAGTACCCAGCCTCTTGGGTTGGTATTTATTAGGTTCCCTGATTCAATAATTGCCATCCCTGGGAGTTTATTCCATGTGTTTGTAGACCTCGCCTCTGGAGCAATAACCCGGGTCCACTCTCACCCCACCGTTTTGCGTCCAGGGTGATTAAGACATACTGCACGTTCCTTCTCTACTCCTCACTGAAGGCCCGACCAGTTAATATTCACTTAATGAATGAGTTGAAATATTTTTTAATGGGAAGAATTTAGTGCTGCCATCCCTGTAATTTGGGAAGCAAGACACTCAACTTCTCTGGACCATCTCCAAGGTTCCAGTGGTTCTCTGACCTCTTTAGTGTTGCAGAGTTGGGGTTGGGAATCAATTTGCGTTGCGTGGGTTATTTGCTGGGTGACTGACCAGGCCTTTGGCTCTGAGCTTTTGGGCTAGGTGGGAAACAGGGTCTGCAAATGTAGAGGAATGAGCACGGGCAGTGAGGGGTGTGGGGAGCATCAGCGGCCCTGAAGTGTATGTGCTAGGGTTTCCATGGCCCAGCCTTAAGGAGCGGCAGTCACGGGATGGGACCTGTGGGCGCATACTCGTGCTGCTGTGCAGAGGACAGCTGTGTGGAGTTGGGAGCTCCCTTTCCGTCTTTTTGTGGGCTATGGGAATCCCAGTTGAAGCCGTCTCCAGCCTGTTCTGTTGGCTAGAAGTTTCCCCTGAAGCTAGGGAGATGAGGAGGGGGCAGATGGCAAGGTCAGTCTGGCCGTGGGTAGGAAGCTATTTCTGTGACTGCGTGCTTGGTTGCTCTGCTGGCAGGAAGCATGCCTCATGTTCCCGAGGCAGCCAGAGTAGGGGGTGGGGAGGGGCTGTAGGGGCTGTAGGGACTGTAGGGGCTGTAGGGGCTGCTAGCCTTCCTCCTCAGAAGGTAGTTTCTGGAATTTGTGATTAGGTGTCTTAATCCTTGTTTATCTGGTTAAAGATAAACACAGAATGGGTAATCTTACTTAAGAGAGCTACTAGACGGTATTTTTTCTACCCTCATCCTTAACTGTAGGCTTTTCCACAATAATGAAAGCTTAGCATATGTCCTTTTGACAAGTTGGGGGGGACCCTGGCCGTTTCCCACTTGGCCAGTTAAAGTGGTCTTCTAGTTTCGGAGACGTGGGTTATTTCTGCTGTGGGGTCTGGCTTGGCTGGGCAGGGCGTGCACTTCTTACCATGCTTCCCCTGATGCACTTGTTGCCAGCATCTGTCAAGTCCCCAGCATTGGAAACAGGCTGATGAGGTCACTTAACCAGTTGTCTTTCCATAACTTTGGGGTCTAGAGATTCATGGAAGGACGTTAGGGAAGCATTTGCAGAAAAAGCTGGTCAGATTGTCAAATTGCTTCTATTTCTTGGTATTTTATACTTCGGTTTGCAGAACAAGGCCTTTTGTGCTTCTCCTTGGATTGTGTGTTTAAATGATTTCTGTTCTTTATTGCCCTACAAGACACCTTCTACTTGTTGTTTGAATGTCTTGAAATGTTTTTGAATTCTTCCATGAATGTCTATAGAAGTCGGAGGCCTGTGGGGCCTGCAGGTTTGCTGGGGCATTCTGTCCTGTAGCGGTGGTCAGTAAGTACCGACAGTCTGATGCTGTGCTGGCAGCAGAGAAGTCTTAGCCTTGCCGATGGTTTCTGCAGTGAATTCATTTCAATCTGAGCACTGTTTTGAACTATCTGTACTATGCTAAGTTCTTGAAATAAAGGATGTGAAATGTGTAATACAAGTCAAGCCTGACTGTATGGTGCACCGCTATGATCCTAGGAGTCTGGAGGCTGCTGCAGCAGCTGTGGGATGTACTGCAGCGATCCTAGGAGTCTGGAGGCTGCTGCAGCAGCTGTGGGATGTACTGTTGCGATCCTAGGAGTCTGGAGGCTGCTGCAGCAGCTCTGGGGTGCACCGCTGTGATCCTAGGAGTCTGGAGGCTGCAGCAGCAGGATTGCAAGTTACACAGTTAAGAGCCTGTCTTAAGAACCTAAACTGTGGGGGCTGGAGAAATGGCTCAGCGGTTAAGAGCACTGACTGTTCTTCCAGAGGACCTGGGTTTAATCCACAGTACCCATCTGGCAGCTCACAATTGTCTGCAGCTCCAGTTCGGACACCCTTACACAGACATACATGTGGGCCAAACACCAATGCACATACAATAAAAATAAATAAATTAAACAAAACAAAAACAACAGTAACAATAACAGAATCTAAACCGTGGAGGGGCTGGAGAGCTGGGTCACCCAGAGGATCAGAGTTCAATTCCTAGCACCTCTATCAGGTGGTCTCACAACCACCCACAATTCCAGCTTCACAGGAATTTGCACGAACATACCCACACACAGAACACACACATAATACAAATAATAAATGCACAGTAGAAATATAAGTAATAAATACAAAAATAAAACAAAAAAGGAAGCAAAAGATTCAGTGCCCTTCGATTTGGATGGGAGTGAGTTTGTCTAGGGTAGAGCAGGGAAAGATGGCTGGGAACTTTAGCACTCACTGGTGTTTTCTGTAAGGAAGAGAACCTTGTCAGATTGGAAACAGCTGCGAAGGACCCGGAACACTTGCAGTGCCGGGGGAAGAATGAGGTGACCAGTTTGCCTGGAAGGGAGATTTCACGTCCTAGCACACTGCCCGGAATGGGAAGGTCAGTTTCGGATTATGGCTGTGTGGAACGGGAGTGTCCTGTTGGAGAAGCCAGAGGCTTCTGACTGAAGCGTGACATGGGGAGAGGGATGGGTAGAGGGAGTACTGGATGTGTGTAGGATGAGTTTGGGTGTCGTGTGGGGGTGGGGTGGTTGGATTGGGTGGAGCTCCAGAGAGCTAGTGACTTCTGTGGGGAGATTGGGAGAACATCCACTCACTTCCATGGACTTTGTTCAGAGGCTGCTTTCGTCCTTCCTCCTCCCCTTTTGTATAACCAGTGCAGTTTAAGGGTGGTCCGCTTTCCAGGCTTGTGGTTCATACAGATACATAGCCAGTTTCATACACATAGCTTTTACATTCTGGTGTGTTTAATCTAGAATGCCTAACGAGTAGAAAAGATGTCAACTGACAGTCCTAACCATGGGAACCACTCCTTGGTATAGGAGGTTACTCCGTGGTAAACTTGGATTGTCTGGTTTTGTGTAAACCAAAGGCCTCAGAATGGCCCCTCCCTGCTCCCATCACGTACAAGTAAAAGTCTTTGCTTGTTCTGAGCCCGGTCTAGATCAGGTCTGCCCAAAGTCGGTTTTGATATTTCCAGGCCTGGGTGATTTAGTGACTTGTGTTTTCTTTCAGTGTCTGGCTCAGAGGTGTTCTTTTGGGGAAGTTTCTTAAGGTGCCCTTCACATTACACCCAGATTGGGAAGACTGACAGTGATTTCAGTTCTCTGTAAACCCGAGTGTGAGTGTCCTTTTCGATACCAGTGGACGACTGAAGTGGCTCGGGGGTTCCGAGACACCTGGAAGCAAGTGCTTTGCGGCTGCTCTCATTGATGCTGGAGAGACTTTCCCCTTGCACTGATCCAGATTTTGTTCTGGTAACTCAGGGAGAAGCACTTAGGGGTAGTTCTGATTGCTGTAACTTACTTCTAGCTCAGTCCATACTGTGCCTGAGAAGACTTAAGACTTGATGGGCAGAGCTGAGGAACCCGTGAGCAAGCTAAGAATCACACATCACTACACTGATCCCTGTTCGAGTACATTGTTTTCTGGTCAGGCAGATTTTTTTTTTTAAACATTGAGGATTGCAAGGACTGGAGTTGTGGCTTACTTGGTGAGGCTTAATCCCAAAGAACCATAAACCATGCTTGGAATGGCATGGGCTGTAATCCCAGCACTCAAATGATATAGACAGGTGGATCAAAAGTTCTTGGTCGTTCTCTGCTACATAGTAGGTTTTAGGGCAATCTAAGATGTGTGAAAAGAATGCAGATTCCAATACTGGTGAAACAGACGGATAGGAACCCTGCTGGGGACGTGGGGGTAC